GGTCCGAAGGGGACCGGCCCGGCTCTGCCCCTCTGTCGGGTCCGATAGCTTGGTTTTATTTTTATTTTCACTCTCATCCTTTCCTTTCTGAGGGCCAACACACGGCGCACACGCCTCCTATAGAAAGCGGCACTAGCCAAAACAAGCGCACATCGAATGCATTTATTTGCACAGACACTCATAAAACCTTTACTAGACACCAAATAATTACAGGAAGGGGCGAACCCCCAGCTCCGCGGGAACCCAGCGTTTTGAAGTGGATTGAAGTGAAGATCAAATAGGATGGGCGCTGGGCCCGCATCACACCCAGGCCCCTCCCGCCCTCCCAGCCTGGAACTCCCGGGGGGAGGACCAATGAACGTTCTTGCTTTGTGAATTTGTGTCCAATTCATATAAAATGTCTTCTGTGAGTTATTCTTAGTGTCCTAAGGTTTTTTTTTTTTTTTTTTTTTGGTTCCAAATCCAGTCCCCGGTCGTCTCTTTGTTCTGGCTCAAGTCCTCCCCCAGGGAAGCCCGCGGTGTTGGATGGGCTGCAGAAACAACCCAGCCCGTCCATTTGGGAAGAAATGCAAAGACTCTTGAGGAAAGTGCCTTTGAAAAAATAAATGTTAACAGCACCTTGAGAGCCCACCAGTTGGTTTCGATGCAATGGGCTGAACCCTCTCCGCTTGGGTAGCCCTGGCCCTGGGCTCCACCGGCTGTCCCTGCTGGGAGTCTGGGCACTGCCTGGGGGAGGGGGGGGCCTCCTGTGCCCAGCCCACAGATGCCAGGATCTGAGTCTCGACTGCCCTAAAGAGAGACAGACGGCTAAGCTCCGTGTGGTCTGTTTCTCCTTGGGTTCTGGTTGGAGGAGGAGCAGTGATGTCCCCACGTCCTGGGGACTCTCTTTCATCCAATAATTTACCAAATACTTACACACCCCACTCTGTGGCAGGCACTCTGGAGAGCACTTACATTCTGCCCTCTCCACGGCCTTCTAGGAGAAATGCTATCCTTATACCCATTTTACAGATTAGGAAGCTGAGGTGCAAAGAGAGAGAGCAGGACTTTCCTGAGGTCCCACAGCCAGATCCGGATAACTCCTAGCGGCATGCTCTTGACCACTCCTAACCTCTGCTGGGCCCGTGGAAGACCTCAGCCCTCAGCCACCTGGCCAGGGCACTGTCCCTCCCTAAGCCTCCCTGGGCTGACAGTACCCTCTGGAGCTAAGGGAGCCTGGTCTCCTGACCCACCAGGGAGGAACCTCATGACTAATGACCCAGACCTTGTGCTGCAAAGTCATGGGTCTGTGGCCAGAGACCCCACCCACTGGCTGAGGGTGGGGCTGGGCTGCAGGGAGCAGAGGGACTGGGCTGGGGCTGGGCAGTCCGCCACACTGCACACAGCCGCAGTCACAGGACACACAGTCACACAACTACCCTCACCAGCAAACTCCACCTAACATCCTATCCCACCCTCCCACCCCCACCCCCCAACTCTCCCATCAGCCTAGCAAACCCCAGGAGGGAGAGAACGTGCTCCCAGCCCTGAGTCAGAGAGCCGCAGCTTGGGCCTCCCCCCAGTCACTCCTCTCTTTGGACCTCCACCCAACTCAGAGTCCCTGAGTTCTCCTAAAACACAAGGCTGGGCTGCGGGAAGGTGACGGTTACTTATCACACACATCCATCTCTTGGCTGGCTGAGGAGGCTGAGCCTCTGACCCACCCGTCCTGGGCGAAGCACCCTTGGGTCTGGGGAGGAGAGTATGGGGATCTTTGTCGGTGCCATCAGCTCAACTTCCAGAGCTCCCGGGTCTCTTGCCTCCGGGGCTGCCTCCTGGAATAGCAACACCCCACCGGCCCAGGTGGGGGCGGCTCAGGCCCAGTCTGGCTGGCTCCCCTGTCTCCCAGTGGCTCCCCCAGCAGGGTAGAACCCTGCACCGTGTAGCTCCTCCTCCGCACTTGCATGCCTCTGGGCCCCCGGCCCTGCCCAGGATCCTGCCTCCAGCTGGGGTTGTAAACTGGGAGGGTGCCCAGCGGCTGGGCTCCGGTCAGTCCGCTCGGGAAAGGGGGTGGAGGTGGGAGTGGGGGGAGGACATGCACCGGGCTGTAGCTCTGGGTCCGGCGGGAGGGGGGCGGGCAGTGCGAGGCCCCGCGGAGAGGAGCAATAGGGATGGGGAGGGCTCAGTGAAGACGGGGGCATCCACCGGATTTGGGAAGCCCAGACCCCCAACCTAGAGCTTCCCTCTCCGGTTTTGCTTCTTCCCCAGCGATTCGCACAGCCAACAAGGTGTTTCCTTCGGTGGAGAAAATAGGAAGCTTTTTCTGCTGCTGAGTCCGAGCCAGTGAGAATCCAGGATCCAACAGAGCGCCCGCGTCGAGGGCCCAGGACCGCGCGGGCCAATCCTCACCGGGCTGCCAGCGGGCAGAACAAGGCACCGGCTCGCTGCCCACGGGCTGGGCTGTGTCCGACTTGGGCCCAGGCCCCGTTCTACCGTCCGGTCAGTCACTTCAGCAGGGCGAGAGGTTTGGAAGTGCAGGAGTTGCCATTGTGCATGAAAGCGACCGGGGCCTCCGCGCGACTGCGTGCGTGCGAAGGGTCCGGGACCACAGACTCAGCTGGGGGAATGCGTGACGCGAGCAGGGACAACGGGCAGAAACAGCATCTATAGGGTGACCCGGGAAGAGGGTCAGACGAGTGGGCAGTGAGCAGGGAGGACGCAGAGCGGGGACTCCAGGTTTGTGCACTAGTAGCTCTTACCCAAGTGGCGCCACGCACCTCGCACCTCGGCAGCCTCCACCCTTGGCCCTCCCGGTGTCTGCTCCGGTGGTGTGGGCTGTGATGCGGGCAAAGGCACGGGGTGACCTGCCAAAAATCTGTGCGCCCCAGGACAGACCAGCCACCAGCATCCAATCGGGGCAGCCCAAGCCGGCTGCTGCCAAAAATCTGTGCGCCCCAGGACAGACCAGCCACCAGCATCCAATCGGGGCAGCCCAAGCCGGCTGGTGCCCTGGGATTGCGGCTGCGGACAGAGCTGGCAGCCCCCGAAGTCTAAGAGGCCTGGCCACAGGGGCCCCCCATTCTGCAGAAAGAGAGAAATGTGGAGAGGAAGAGGCCGGCACAGGGAAGGGGGAAGGGGAGACAGGGGAGGAGGATGGAACGCCGCCCCCGATGCTGGGGTCTGGGGCGGGTCACAAGGGCCTGTGACGGGAAGGATTCCCAAGTGCGCTCCGAAGAAGGTAAGGTTCTGGGCCTGGAACCGGACCCCCAGGCCTCGGCAACCGACAGCAGGTGCAGGGACGCGGCGCTACCAGCAGAGGGCAGAGGATGCCCGATCGGTCCGCGAGCCCTGCGCCCGGCTGTGCGCCTCCGGGCCGCCAGCTCCTCCCGGCAGCGGCCGCCCCCGCCCCAAATGCCCGGAGAAGGCGGCCCTGGCCCAAGCGCCCGAGCCCAAGGTCTGGGGTTTTCAAGGGCCGAGGATCAAGGGCGTGTGAGCAAAACTCTGCATCCACTCATCCACCGTCTTGGGCACAGAAACACAAAAAGGAGAAATTCACGGAGACAGAGAGCCATACACACACACACACACACCCCAAAACTCTGGGACATGGAGCTCACAGAATCACTCAGGAATTCGGAGACACACAGAGACACACAACGGTGACACGATGACACACATACAGAAAAGGACCCCAGACACAATGCAGAGGCTGAGAGATGACACAAAGACATACTTGCCCGCACAGAGTGACACAGACACAGGGACGCACACAGCGACCTACAGAACCACGGACGGTACCGAGGCACGGAAGGGCCCAAAGATACACACACACACACACGCACGCACGCAGGGGAGTCGGATACACATTCACAGAATCACACTTTCGAGGCCCACGAAGTCGCTGGAGCACAGAAACACGGTGCACACGTACGCAGAGCCTCCGAGGCGGGAGCATCGACACGCACAGACACACACAGACGCCCCCCGACACACACGCAGGTACTGGGGTGGGGCTGGAGGCCCTCATCCTCCACAAAGCCGGGCCCCTCCGCGGGGCCCCACGGCACAGGGGGCCACTTCTGACCCAGCCTCCCTTGAGCTCCAAATCCGATCCGCCCTCTCGCCTCCAGCGGGGTCAGGGGACCCGCCCCCCGTGCCCTCCGCCTTCACCCCGCTCCGCGCCGCTGCTCCGCTCCGGGAGGGGCCGGGGCCCGCCCGCCCCAGCTCGCGGGGGTCAGCCCGCGCCGGCCCCGGGGCCGCATCGCCCCCAACCCGGCCCCCGCGCGAGCCGCGCCTCCGTGGGGAGCCGGGGCCCGAAGACGCAGCGGGTCCACGGCGCGCCGCCCTGCGCACCTAGCGCGGTGCCAGGTCCTGCGGTGCCAGGCACTCGCGGGGCGCCGGTAGGAGTTTGGCCGAGAGTCTCGAAGCCCTTTCGCTCTCTGTTGCCGCGTCCACTTCACCCTAGTCCCTTCACGAGGCGGTCCTTTGCTGGCGCGGCCTACGGTCCCGCCGGGTGCCTCCCCGCCAAAGGTCGCCTAGCCCAGCGCCAGTCGGGTTTCCTCCCAGCGGCGACATACACACCGTGCCGGACTTCCAGTCCCCGACCCTGGGGCCACCACCCCCACCCGTGCGCCTCACTCCAAATCCTGCGAGGCCGGGTTCTCATCCTTCGTCCCTCCCTCCCCCGAACCCTACCTGGGGACCCCCTTCCCCAGACCTAATCGTCCTCTAAACTTTCCGTCGCCTGGACCCCGGCCTCGCCTTCCTCGCCTGTCCAATGTCCCCCATTCCGGATCCTGGGGCCCCTCCGCGATCTTCGCTCACCTCTCCACCCGCTCTCTGCCACGTCGCAAGGCTCCCCGGACCCTCATCCCAGATCCTGGGGCCCAACCTGGGCCAGGGTACCTTCCCTCCCGCCGGTCCCCTCCCTCAAGCCCGGCAGCCAGCCCTCTCTGCGGATCAAACCGGCCCCGGAAAGGCGCCGCCGCCTGGGGACGCGAACTCAGCCCGGTGCGACCTACCTCGGCCGGCAGTCGGGGTCCCCGGACGGCGCCGTCCCCTGGAGCTGCAGCGCTCCCCGCCGTCCGCGCAGTCTGGCCTCGTTTGGGGCCACTCCTCTCAGCGCTGGAGCTTTACAAAATATTAATAACGAAGAAGGCAAGGACGAAAAAAGAAAGCCTTCATTCCCCAACTCCCAAATCAATTTTTCAAGGGGGTGGGGCAGAAGGATTTGTTTCGAGGACAAGCCAAACTTCTGAGAGGGGCCAACGGGCGTTTTGGCCGGGCCAGGGCCCCCGAGCCCGCGCTCGGGGCCGGGCGCCACGCGGGGGCAAGTTGGGGGCGCGGGAGCCCTCCCCGCAGGGGGCGGGGGAGACGGCGGCGGCACTATTTGACG